TTTTTTGTACATTTTAATATTTTTTTTTATAATTATAAAATTAATTGCAAAATATTAATTTCTCCTGTTTTCATTAATCATTCAAAGAATTGATTAATGAAAAATTAATATTGTTATGCAATATTATCAGTTAAAGAAAAATATTAATTTCAAAATTCCTTTTTATACCCTGCACTTCGTGAAGGGTATATTAACTTTGGTATGGAGTTTGTAACTACTTGAAGGAGTCATCTGCGGTATGGACATATATATATATTCTTGCTCAGCGTAAAATTCTGCGTTGATTTAGACATGTCCGTCCGTCCGTCCGTCCGTCCGTCCGATCGCACGATAACTCAAAAACGAATAATGCAATCGACACCAAACTATCATAAGTTGCTTCTTTTGTGCCAAGGACGAACCCTATTGTTATTGGACCAATTCGGACAACGGGTTCGGGTAGCTGCCATACAACTCAAAGAGTTTATTTTAATTATTTCAAAAACTAATAAAGGAACAAATATAAAATTTTGTATACATGTGTCCAATTATATTCTACATATGCTCTAAAAATTTTAATGAGATAGCTGCACCGGTTCGGGTGGCTGCCATACAACTCCAAAAGCAAATTTTTTATATTCGGCAAAGTAATAAAGTCAGATTCATGAAACTTGGCAGTCGTGTGTCCAATTATAGGTCAAAGATATTTCTGAAGTTTTGGTAGAATTGCTTGACAGGTTCGAGTGGCTCCTATACAAGTCCAAAAGCTTATTTTAAATATTTGGAAAAGTAATAAAGTTAGATTCATGAAACTTGGCAGTTGTGTGTCCAATTATAGATCAGATATATTAGCGAAGTTTTAGTGGAATTGCTTGGCAGGTTCGGGTACCTGTCATACAACTCCAAAAGCTAATTTTAAATATTTGGAAAAATAATAAAGACAGATTCATGAAACTAGGCAGTTGTGTGTCCAATTATAGGTAAAAGATATTTCTGAAGTTTTGGTGGAATTGCTTGACAGGTTCGAGTGGCCCCCATACAAGTCCAAAAGCTTATTTTAAATATTTGGAAAAGTAATAAAGTTAGATTCATGAAACTTGGCAGTTGTGTGTCCAATTATAGATCAGATATATTAGCGAAGTTTTAGTGGAATTGCTTGGCAGGTTCGGGTACCTGCCATACAACTCTAAAAGCTAATTTTAAATATTTGGAAAAATAATAAAGTCAGATTCATGAAACTTGGTAGTTGTGTGTTCAGTTATAGGTCAGACATATTCGTGAAGTTTCTATAGAATGGTTTCACAGGTTTCAGTAATTGCTATACAACAATGAAAGGTGCAGGGTATAATTCAATCGGTTCATACCGACTGAAACGTTTTTACTTGTTTTTTAATTTGTATTTTTTGGCACACTGTTGAAATCGATAGTATTGAATGTGTCCGAAAAAAAATATTTTCTTGTCCTATTTTCAATGTAAAAAAAAAGTTATAAAATGCACTCAAATTATATGAATTGCGAGAGATTAAACCAACCAAAAATTAATTTACTTAAATTGATGAAAATATATAAAACAAATTTACGTTATTTATAAAAATTAAAAAAAACAACTAAAAAGAATTATAAAAAACATTTTTTTTTAAAGAGAAAATCGCCTCACAGAAATAATTCTGGAAACATGAATAACATGGAAAAGCAATGTTAAGAATTTTTATAACAGAATTGACTGAATTGAGTCTATAAAAGTTTCAGTTTTAAGGTCGAAACTTAATTGTAGCTTCCTTTAATTCTTCCACAATTTTGAGTCTATAGCACAATAACAAGGGTATATTAACTTTGGTATGGAGTTTGTAACTACTTGAAGGAGTCATCTGCGGTATGGACATATGCATATATTCTTGCTCAGCGTAAAATTCTGCGTTGATTTAGACATGTCCCGTGTCCGTCTGTCCGTCCGTCCGTCCGTCCGTCCGTCCGATCGCACGATAACTCAAAAACGAATAATGCAATCGACACAAAACTTTCACAAGTTTTTTCTTTTGTGCCAAGGACGAGCCCTATTGTTATTGGACTAATTCGGACAACGGGTTCGGGTAGCTGCCATACAACTCAAAGAGTTTATTTTAAATATTTCAAAAACTAATTAAGCTATAAATATAAAATTTTGTATACATGTGTCCAATTATATTCTACACATGCTCTAAAAATTTTAATGGGATAGCTGCACCGGTTCGGGTGGCTGCCATACAACTCCAACAGCAAATATTTTATATTCGGAAAAATAATAAAGTCAGACTCATGAAACTTGGCAGTCATGTGTCCAATTATATGTCAAATATATTTTTGAAATTTTAGAGGAATTGCTTGACAGGTTCGGGTATCTGCCATGCCATACAACTCCAGAAGCTAATTTTAAATATTTGGAAAAATAATATAGTCAGATACATGAAACTTGACAGTTGTGTGTCGAGTTATAGGCCAGATATATTTCTGAAGTTTTGGTGGAATTGCTTGACAGGTTCGAGTAGCTCCCATACAAGTCTAAAAGCTTATTTTAAATATTTGGAAAAATAATAAAGACAGATTCATGAGCTTTGGCAGTCGTGTGTCCAATTATAAGTCAGACATATTTCTGAAGTTTTGATGGAATTGCTTGACAGGTTCGGGTACTTGAAATACAACTCCAAAAGCTTATTTTAAATATTTGGAAAAATAATAAAGTCAGATTCATGAAACTTGGCGGTTGTGTGTCGAGTTATAGGTCAGATATATTTCCGAAGTTTTAGTTGAATTGCTCTACAGCTACGAGTAGCTCCCATACAAGTTCAAAAGTTTAAATAAAGTCAGATTCATGAAACTTAGCAGTCGGATGTCCAATTATAGGTCAGACATGTCCGTGAAGTTTCTATAGAATGATTTCACAGGTTTGAGTAATTGCTATACAACAACGAAAGATGCAGGGTATAATTCAATCGGTTTATACCGACTGAAACGTTTTTACTTGTTTAATTTAAAATTATCGACATAATTTTCAATAATTTTGTGTATTGTTGCTGGTTACTATATACATATATCGATAATTTTCAAAAACCAAACCAAAATAAATTTTACAGTACATATATTTTATAAATATTTAGATAATAAATAAATATTCTTTTTCACTAATAAAATAAATAATTACATTTTTTTTCAATTTTGTCTTGCGAATTAAACTTTTATTCTGCTTATGTAATAAAAATCTTCGGAAATTCTTAAAAAAATGTTCCATCGAAATATTTATATTTATAGGATTGTTTAAAAAGTAATTATTTAAAATATTTGCTTTAATTTAAATGAAATGTTAGTGTTATTCCAGAGTATAAAAACACAATATATAAAAGTTTAATCTTTTTTATGTGGGATCTTATTTGAAATGAACTTTGCGACCTTTTTTGCAACTTGTATGAAACGAGCTTTAAAATTCCGAAACAGAAAATTTCAAACTTTTCACTTTATTTTCTTAATTCTACAATAGGTAATTCTTCTAAAGTCATAATCATAACTTATTCATAAGTCAGAAATATCCGCTTACTTTTGATAAATTGTGAAACACTGCATCATAAATTTAAATCTCTGGAGAACTTTTATTAATAACCCATTTATTGACATCATTTTGCCATAATAAAGAATAAAATTATAATGTAAAGTGGAGAGTATAACAGAAAATCAATTAAATTAAAATTTTTTTAAAACTTAATGCAGTGATTGGCCATTTTGAATTTATCTGCTATAGAAATATAAAGTTCTTACACCTTTCACATCAATATAATTATTTATTGAAACGATGAAATTATCAAAATAATGACATTATAAAATTGTGTCTGTGTATCAAAATAATGAAACAAAATTGATGATGTGGCACGAAAAAAAACTTACGCTACTAATATGATAATTAAACTAATTTTCAAATTCTTGTACAAGAATTACAAAATTTTGTTTCATCCCGAAGTTCAGGTGACACGTGAGTTAATCACTTAGCGTCACATTTGACCCAAAATTTCAAAATTTATTTTCAGCGTCAAATTTCAAAAATTAACACCTGTGAACATTTTTTCCATCGAGTTCACGATTTAAAACTATTTATATTGATATTGTGAGACTTTCTCCAATCTCTGACGAATATGAACACTCTACACACTATCACAATTATCGATCGATTCACAAGGCGACACGATGCATATCCCACATAATCGTTTCAACAATCGCGAAAGTCTTCGTTTAAAACTCTGTGTCAAGGTTCGACTTCCCTATACTATAATCACAGATCAGAGAAGGCAATTTGATGTAAACTTTTTAGGGAACGGACGAGGCTTCTGAGGATTTGATGTTAGGACGAAGCGCGCGATGAAAGGACCTTAATTGCGTCATGGGTTCATGCAACAATGATTCTGTTAGAAATTTGCTCTGTGATAAAAGATGATTTGAAAGTTTCACTTGTACAATTGGTCTACGCCCAATGTTTGAAACTCTCAAGTAAATCAAGATGCTTTGGTTACACAATTAAAGGAAACAATAAGTGATTTAGTTGCAATTCGGCTAAAACAATCTTCAGTTTCCGTATTTTTTCCACGCAATCAAAGAACTAGTAAATTCGTTTATCTTCATAACGATATCGTAGCAATATTGAAATAAAAAAAAACACTAACGTGTACATAGATCATTTAAAGCCGTTCTGTTACGAGGAATTACTCACGGGGGGCAACGTAGCGTTCTTTTTTTTAGATAGAATTTAAATTCAAAATTTAATGTATTTCTTACTTATAAAGAAATCAAAGTTTTACCATATTCTTCGTGTATTCAAAGATTAGACTTATCGGTTCTGTCACAAACAACGTACATTTTCAACTCAAAAACTTTTCAGGAAATGAAAAAATATTAATAAATATATCTAACTGAATTGTATAAATTTTAAATTCACAACTTTAATAAAGCGATAAGAGCAAGAGAATGAAAGAATTTCCTGAACATCGCGGGTTAGTTATTACTCATTGTTGTTGAACCCAACATATTCTGTATTCTGTTAGTCTTCTTTATTAAGAGCCTTTCATAGTCTTCTATATTAAGAGACGAGTGTTAATTTTCAAACTAAGGAAAATTTTATTATATCGTTTTGAAATATATTTACTGCGCTACTTAAGCTACTATTATTTAAACAAATATTTGAGAATAAAATGATATGCAAAATAAAAGGAAACCCCTATTCTAACAATCGTCCGATTATATAACAATTTCAACTTTAAAAGTTCATTTTACATTATAAAAACAGGGAACATGAAAAACATGCATAAATATTATAGGTATTCCTTCAAAGTTTGATAAATCTAATTGAAAGAAGTGCTCATTTAATTGTATTTGGAAGTAAGTTTAAAAAAGTGCATTTTGACACAATTTAAGCATAATATTATTATTTGAGCTATATATTCAACTAGTTCTCAATTTTTGAACACTAAAATTTATTAAATTTAATTTCAGTTATATGATGCTTTTTGTCACTTTATCTTCCTTAATATAAAATATAATTTTATTTTTACTAAAAGTACCCGTGAAAGTGAACACGTTGTTTGCTTTTATGAGTAAAATTAAATACACATATAGAATGACTGCGAGATGATTGAATAGAACAATTGATGTAATATTATAAAACAAATTTATGCTCGTATAAAAATTATACACCAATTTATAAGTGACTCTATGTATGCATTAATTAATAATACCACCATATTTGTACCCATAAAAATTAATCGGACATGATATTATTGATTTGTGCTCGTACGTATGGTGAATTTTTGCCATAAACTATAAAATATTTTGAAAAAAATTTTTTTCATTTAACTTAAATTTTAGATTATACTTTTGATATTTTAAATTATTCATAGAATCAACTCTACTCTCATAATATTGAAATTTTCATTTGAGACACAAAAAAAAACCAAAAAAACAAATTTAGCATAAAATTTTATGCATATTTTTGCAAATAATTTAAAAAATTTAAACATATCTTGTCATTTGATAACACAATTCTACTCACCCCCTATGTAAATTTATACAACAATCACATGAAATTTTAAAAATTATTTATTGTAGAAAAAAAAAAGATTATATTTGAAAATAAATTCTTTATTTGTGAAAATTTCTTTAAATTTAATATTAAAGTTAATTTAGACTCTTTGAGAATAAATTTTTTTTTTCTTTTATATAAAATGAAAATTTAATTTTCCTTCTACCCTTATTTTTATTTTTCTCCTTGTTTATACTTATATAATCATACCATTTTTATTTTTATAACCCATTATATCGATGATATCCATTTAACTACCTACGCAAATAAAATTATTTTTTAAAATGGTCTCATCTATACCATATTCTTTTATGTATACAAACGGTATATAATCAACAACTTCGTATAGGTATGTAGGTACTAGGTTACTAGATTTGTACTACTATATTGTCACAAATTCCTTAAGGATATCTTGTTCTTTTTTTTTCATTATTTCATCTCTTCCTCTCTGTCTCAGGAGAAAAAAATTATATATACATATAAAAGAAGTCAAATAAAAAAAAACTTATTTTTTTTATCTTTGAAAGTCCTTTTTACAGAATATTTTTTTTTTGCGTTTGTTCTTTGAAAATTGTATAAAAACTGAAATGTATGCACAGGACATCATCATCTTCTTAAATGATTGATTATTATTGGATCTTCAAACAATAATCGCCAATATCAACCTTTGACCTAAATCTTTATTGAATCCTATATTGTACCTATGTATTTTATAGTATGTTGTACTTATTTAATCTTATACATTATATACAGTACATATGTTTAAATATAAATTATATAATAAAACATGGTGTTTGTATTTAGATAGGAACACATAGATACCTACATAGTATAGAATATAATAAGAATATATATATATATATATATATACGGAATATCAATTTAATACTTATGTTTCCATCTTTCATCTTCCTAAAATTGATTTATATCGAATAAAAATAGAATGCAATAAGAAGAATAACAGAGAAGAGTAATTTTTTATCCATTCTATTTTTCTTTTTGATTTTCTGCACAATATCCTTTACTGTTATTTTTTCCAAATTACAATAAATAAAAAAAAAATTTTTCTAAAACGTAATTTTATTTAATAAAAAATTTTCCATTTATAATATCAAACAAGTTAATTTAAATTTATCAAATTAAAACTTAAATGCAACTAACCAACATATGGTTTGAGTTACATAACTTTTTAAATTTACATAAAAAAATTTTAAGTCACGTACAAAAGTGATCAAACCCAGAACCATACTATGCAATGAACGACAAACCTGAAAAAAAAATTTATTGAATTGACGAACGAGAACCACGAAATAAGGAGTAATCGATAATACTTTCCAAGGAGTGTGCAAAGAAAAATCTGATATTGGAAATGTTAGCAAACAGGATAGGCCTAATACACCGTTTTGGTCATAATCAAAAATTTCGTTTAAGGAAATCAATAAGTAAAATTTAGCCGCAATCAATAATAACATTTACCCGTTTTTGTCAAAATATCTTAAAGTTCACCTTACAACTTTTTGCCTATTCATTTTTCTTCAATAATATTTCATACATTATATTCCTTCAATTTTTTTTAAAACCTAATTTAATATATGTACATATTTGATTTTGCACATAATATTCATCCATTTATCCTTTAGGGAAATCTCCTTTTCTTTAAAAGAAAAAAAAATTAATGCATAAGAGAAATAAAAAAGAAGTAAGCGAAAACAGAGAAAAAATGTAGAATATCCGCCCAAATCGGAATGTGTTAGTTTTAGAAATAAGATGGAAGACAGCCTTTCAAATTCTCAAGTCCTTCTACTTCAATTTCTATACTATCCCAGAAATAAAATAATAAAAAAATGCGATAACAACACTGCTATACCATCACATACTTCTAAAAAATGTTCAACATTTTACACGAAAAGAGGAAGAAAAATTAGATGATCCTTTTTAAAGATAAGAAAAAAATTTATATATTTATATAGAAAATTATAATATGTACTTATTTTGAAACAGAATCATTAAAATGACTTCTGTGTTCGTGAAATTGACTTTGATGATAAAGATTCGTTTTTTAAGATTATCCTTGGACTTAAAAGCAATTTCTCTTCCTCCACTTGTATTATTTTTTCTTCTGTAAATTTTTTTTAGTTCAATATCAGAGAATTTAAGTCTCCTTTTTTTATTTTATTTTCTTCTCACTTCTCATATTTTGGTTTTTTTTTCTCTTTTTATCGTAAATGTTTGTATGTATGTCAGTATCATTAAAAGTTCTTTACTCTCTATGTTTTTTACTTTAAATTTTGTGTTTTTTCTATTTTTTTTTGCATTTTCTCCAAAAAATTATCCTTATCGGATTGATATTTGCAATTCAAAGTTTTATCCAAATTGTCAATACTTTTATGCATCAGCTATAATAACTGTTTCTTGCTTATTCTTTTATAGCTTTAAGCTTAAATTTCAATGTTATTCGGTATGGTAATTTTTATTTTCTTTTTTTGATTTTTCTTTTTCGCTATGGAAATTTGGAAAAACTAAAAAAAAAAATAAAAATAATAAATGCAGAATGCATTTAATCGAACTGCATAATTGTCAAGTGTTTTTCTAATAAATGTTCAATCCATTTTTTATTTTTTAGTTTTTTTAAAGGAATTTAGAATTAGATTTTCGTTTATAACACTATGTTATAAAATGAAAAAATTTTCTGCATGTTATTTGATTTATTAACATCAGTACATACTCGTACTTATAATTTTGGGATATATTGAATTCCGAGGACTATATTAATTTTTTTCAAACGTTTGTAAACATTAGCCAAGGCACTGTGTAGTATATAGGTCTTATAATCCACCTAAGAAAAAATTCATGAAGAAATTCATTATTTACATTATCGAATAACAAAGATCTATCAAAGCGTCTTGATCCTAAAAAGTTGATTCAACTACTACATTTTTCGTTAAAGAATAAGAATTAAATAAGTAATATGAAAAAATAGATCTCTTATTACAACCATAACCAGTAGTGTTGAAGATTTTGTGAATCCTCTTTATTTTATTTTCGGAAACCTAATTTAAAGAAAAATTTACATTTTTTAGCACACCTAAGGACTTAATTAACAAAGTTTTCTAAAATTTAATGTAATTTTAAACAGAGCTCTCTTTGCCAGTGAATTCGGATGACACAAAATGACGTTCTTCTAAAAACGTTTTTAGTAATATTTCGCTTTTATTGTCAGAAAGTGTCAAAAGATGTATCTACTACGCACTTTTTCATAGTCACCCTAATTATGGTGTTAAATTGTGGGGTATAAGCAACTGATCAAATAATAAATGAGCAACAAGTAATTAAAAATAAGTCAATAAAAGTATTTTATAATATTATAGTTGGTGTGAAAGCACTGAACTTATTCACAAAGAGAAGCAGTTCTTTTGATCAAAGATTTTGTTGATCTAAAGTTAACGTTGCATATTCATGATATGGTAATTCAAATTTTACAAATTTCAAGAGGCGATAACTTGAGAGGGGGTGGAGATAGAAAAAAATTTTTTAAAAACCAAGCATAATTAATTGACTTTCCGATAAATGTTAAAAATATTTCTATATATTTCAAAAAGTTTCCAAAAAGCACAGTATTTTTACAAAATTCCCAGTTTATGTTACAACAATAGGGTTCTCAATTAAATATTTATCATTCAAATGTACTCTGTGCATTATAATATCCTACAGTATTCAGAAAAATTAACTTTAAGCTTAAAATTTTTAAAGTAAATTTTTTGAAAATTGAGATTATCGAAAAAAAATTCCTTTTTCATTTCTTTTGAATATCTTAAATGGTTTTTATATCGAAATATTTTTAACGAGAATTTAAAAAGAATTTTTTTCCTTCTCAATTTGTCAGGTTCACCAATATTTTCACTACTTCATTTCAATGATACTTGTTGTCAACCAGACAACATTTTTAACT